TAGATTAAACTTTTGGCTTTTATCCAAAATAAAATTTTCCATTACTTTTTTATTAGAAAATGAGGGTGGTCTTTTCCTCTGACCAAGAATAGCCTAATTTCCTATTTCCACTGAACTTTTGCTTATTAGAGAGACTCTTTTACTTTATTTCACCAGCCACTTGGTCTTTTTGCTTTTGTTAGCTGTCTCTTCTGTGATATATAGTTCTGTCATTGGTTACCAGGTGTCACTTTCCTACCTTTTTATCCCAAAATCTGCCATTTCAGCTCTTTCCTGTTCTATTGCTTTACTCATCTCCTCTTTAAATCACTCACTATTCATTCTTCAACAAATAATTATTGGGTTCTATTATGTGTCAGAAACCACAGTAGTAGAAGCTGATGATGCCTTATTGGGGGAAAAAAAATCATCTTTTTCCAAGGCTGATAGGAAGAGACATGTGATTGGATCATATTTTTGTGTAATGGCCAATGTGCACTTCACTCACTGTGTCCTTTTTGGTGACCTTCCTACACTGGAACAGTTAGACGCATGGCATCTACAAAAGAACTAGCACTCAAAATGATCGAATTCTCACTCCAATTTTAAAAGCTGAGTGTCAGTATAAGTTATTTCTAAGTAATTACATGGATTTTTATGACATTGTCTCCCCTGCAAACTACAACTCAAAGATTGAGTCAGAGGACTAGGAGGAAATGTGAGATGAGAAAGAAAGAAAGAAAGAAAGAAAGAAAGAAAGAAAGAAAGAAAGAAAGAAAGAAAGAAAGAAAGAAAGAGAGAGATCGAGAGAGATCATAAGAAGGAAGGTTAGGGGCCCAGGGCCAGAGGATAAGACTAATAAGGAGCCCCCAGATGAAGGGATGCTTGCCACCTGAACTCTGCCCACCTTTCTGTTAGTAAAACCCCATCTATTGACAGAACCATGGGTCTGAATGGTCCTTTCTACTGCACTGAGAGCATACAGCTTGTCATTCTCTAAAGAAAAACCACAGCCTACTTCCAACCATCCTGTGAGAAGAGCACCTTCCTTGTCATTACATACAGATCAGATGCAAGATGGGATCTTAAAAATGTGGAGAGTAGCTGCAGTGTAGAAGGGATGCATATGCATAGCTAGTCTGGGTAGGTTTTTCCCCTCACTCTGGGGTAGTCATTAAAACCACCCCTGTCACACAGACAGTAACGTACTAATCATGCTAATACACAATCACAAACCAAAGGAAGTGCTCAGAGGGAAGAAAACTCTTGAGAGCACTGCAGAAAGGGACTGAACCTAGAATGAAGTGTCAACGGTGGTTTCACCAACGAAGTAATGTTTGAGCTGAGTTTGCAACAAGTTGAAGTTAACCACAAGAAGAGAGAGAAGAAACAGCATGGTGATGTGAGGACCATGGTTTGTTCTAAGTGCCAGATGAGGGTTAGGGTGGCTCTAGAAGGCACAGAAAAGTAGCACAAGGTGAGCCTGGAAGGAAGATCCAGGTCTTGCAAGAACCAGTAAGGCATATTAGAAAACACTGGTCACTGACCCAGACAAAAGGAGAAGCCACTGAGGAAATTTAAGTAAAGGTATAAAAAGATCAATCGGGTTCTAGTGTGTGATATGGAGAAAGAGGCACTGATGGGAAAGAAAGAAGACTATTTCAAGGATCCAATCAAGAAAAGCTAGGCAGAGATTAATGGGTTTCTTCTATTCTTCCCAGCTTTCTTCTGATCCTTCAAGTCAAGTTTAAAAAATCATTAACATCATGAATGATTTTATTCCTACTTTCATGGATAGTTTTGTCACTGCTGTTGTCTTTGCTTATCTTGGGATCTTACATTTTAATTCTTCCCTGTAACACTTTCCCTTTTTGAAAAAAAATCTAACCAGGTACAGTGGTGCATGCCTGTAATACCAATTCCTAGGGAGGCTGGCACAGGAGAGTCACAAGTAGGAGGCCAGCCTGGGCAACTTAGTGAGACCCTGTCTCAAAAAAAGACTGAGAGACAGAGGAGGCTTTCAGATCGATGTGCTGCAGCTCCCAATGCAGAGTAGGAGGCTTCCAGGCCAACCTACCACCACCCCAAGCACAGAGGAGGTGAGCCACATGGGCACCAGCAGAACTTGTCCCCCACCCCCATCAAAATGAGAAGACACCTAAACAAGCCTCAGAACCAGACTTCCAGATCACCTAGAGCAACCCCAAAGGGAAATGAGATGGAACACTCTGATACTCAACCACCTAGACTCCCTGAACTGGCAACAAAAGAGGATCTGGAAAAAATGAAATCAGAAATAACTTCTCAGATAACAGCAGTGATTGTGCTCATAGTGCAAGACATGATTAATAAATCAGGAGAAGACACAGATAAAAAATAGAGAAACTGAGGAATATGATGGAATCCCAACATAGGAAACAAATGGAATCCATAAAACAGATGCAAACAGATTGCCAGGAGATTAAAAACTCTATTGAAAGTCTATGCAGCAGAATGAGCCAATGTGAGGACAGAATTTCACATATAGAAGATAAGATTTCAATTAGTGACCAGGAAAACAAAAATTGCTTTAAAATTGTAAGGGACATGAGAAATCAATTCAGCAGCTGCTAGACGATGCAAAGAAGAATAACATAAGACTGATCAGAGTCAAGGAAGAAACAGGAGAGAATGCAAATGACATAAAAAAACTGTTCACAGAAGTGATGGCAGAAAACTTCCCAAGCCGGGGAAAAGAACTTGACATTCAGATAAGTGAGGCATAAAGGACTCCAAATACCCTTGAACAAAAAAATCTACACATAGGCATATAATTGTTAAGATTCCAGAAACCCAACGGAAGAACAAAATGCTACAAACAGTAAGAGAAAAGAAACAAATCACAAACAAAGGCGAGTCCATCAGAATCACAGCAGACTTCTCAACTCAAACCCTCAAGGCAAGAAGAGCTTGAAGTGATGAATTTCAAGCGCTGAAGGAAAACAGCCTCCAGCCCAGATTGATGTACCCTGCAAAACCAACTTTCAAAATTGATGGAGAAATAGATACTTTCATGACAAAAAGCACATTAGGAACTTCATGAATACCAAACCAGCACTCCAAAAAATTTTAGACACTATATTAGGAAATGACAATGAGGATCACAACCCTGGGAAGCCCAGCAGAGTAAATCAATCAGGCATGAAAAGAAATAAAATGCAAAGGGGAAGAATCCAACAAAAAGAAAAAGTCATGACAATGATAAGTCAATAGGTATCATTTATAAGCATCGATGTTAATGGTCTCAATTCACCAATCAAAAAAAATAGACTGGCAGAATGGGTCAAGAAGCAAGATCCAACAATATGTTGCACACAAGAAACACACTTAATTCAGAAAGAAATTCATAGACCGAAAGTTAAAGAGTGGAAAACAATACTCCATGTGACAGGAACCCCAAAAAAAGCAAGAGTAGCTATCCTCTTTGCAGATCAAGTGGATTTCAAGGCAACACTGCTTAAGAGAGACAAAGAAGAACACACCCTTATAAAGGGAACAATCCAAGAGGGAGTGATGACAGTCATAAACATCTTTGCACCAACACTAGTATACCCAACTATATAAAAGAAATATTAATGGACATGAAAAGTCATATAAGCACTAATACAATAGTAATGGGGGACCTCAATACCCCAATGTCACAAATAGATAGATCAACTAGACAAAAAACAAGCAACAAAATATTAGAACTCAATCAAAATTTTGAACAAATGAACTTAACAGATATTTACAGAGTGTTCCATCCCACAAAATCAGAATACACATTCTTTTCAGCTGCACATGGATCGTTCTCCAAAATAGACTAAATACTCACTCATAGAACATATTTAGGTAAGTGCAAAGGAATTGAAGTTATCCCCTGGATATTATCAGACCATAGTGAGATGAAATTGGAGATCAATAGCAAAAGAAACCACAAAAATTTCATAAACACATGGAAATTGAAGAACATATGATGGAGCCAGCCATCACTTGTTGAATAGCACCTGAATGGGGGAGTAAGGATGAAGAAAAAGAAAGATGCAGAGATAGAGTCAGGAGCCTCTCAGAGAGAGTGCCGCCACGCTTTTTATTCTCCTCCCTTTTCTCACAGGTGAGTTTGGTTATTAATCAGGACCCTTATCCAAAGACACCTGCTTCCTTGTTCTCTAGTTCTTTGGAAATTCCCCACCCTCATGGGTCTTCCAGTTTCTCGGGCTTACAAAACGTTCATCATGCTCCAGGACAATCTCCGAAGGTAAACATCTAATTTGACAAGGACGCGGTTCCTCGTAACATAGTCTCCTTGCTCTATACAATGGAGGGTAAGATTTAACATGGAGCCTCTATGGCTAACACCGCTCTCCACATCTCCCCATTTTATATATTATGATCAAGGTCCCTTGATCAGGCAGATCGGCTGTGCCTGTCTTAGGTGAGGAATATAAAGAAATCTCTTACCCGTCATGGAGTCAAGAGCGTCACCATACTCTTGCTCTGTCTTAGGTTGGTGATTTCCTGTATTCTTCTTACCCGTCATTGACTACCAGCCTTTGCAGGAAATTACACCATGGGTTTAGGCGGTGTAGCATGTAATTGTAGACCATGAATACTTCCAGCCATCCTCATTAAAGAATGCATAAACATCTGTAGTAGCGCCAGAAGGATCATGCATCTAAGAGGCAGCCCTCCTCCAATAATTACTATGGAAATGAGTTACCACGTAAATGCAGATGTAGATGGTAGAACTTTTCTAATTTGTTCGATAAAATCCTGTGCAGCCTGGGCTGCATCAAATTTTAGGGGTTCTGCATTTTGGAGATCTATAATATCCAAATCTAAGAACACATTCGCAAAACCATTATCTGATTTTCTGTTCAGGTGACACAATTGCTTATTTGACAATTGAAGTAAATTACATTATAATAATCATAATTCTTTCTGAACACCAATATTTCCTACAAGCAATACCTAAGAGCACATGACATATGCAGTGACATTTCTTTTGGGATGACAAGAATTTTCAGACCAGTCCAAAACATAAGTATCAAATCCAGTAATATTATATCTCACAGGGGCATCTGCCACACATCTCTTCCATGGAACAGTCCCATTGGAGCATTAAAAGTCAGAGGCACTACACCAGTGGTCTCTATACCCACAGGTAGATGTAGATGGACTCCAGTGATCCTGCCTTTGCATTGATCTACCTGCCTTCCTGCCAGGGTGCGAGCGCTCAGTCTTACACAATCAGTTCTGTTGATTTTGGAGAAACATATGGGGATTCCGGTTTCTGATCCCATATAGTTGAACAATTGGACCTCGTTCTTGTCAGGTGCCGCCGGCTCATCCAACAGCCTGGTATTGTTCACCCATACCACTACTTCTCCATTTTTTCAGCTCGTTGGATGTACAACAGGTGGATCAGGTACATAAGTCCAATACACCTTCTCATTAAGCGTCATCATTAGATTTATCAGCAGGACAGTTGTCAGGATCATCCTAAGGGGCAGGAGAATTTTCCGCAAAATGGACCAATCTTTCAGGTAGCCACCTGGCACCTTCAGCGTCCTTTGCTCCACGAGCGCGAAGCATATTTTTAAGCATACGTTCAAAAAGCATTCCGCTATTACCAATACCCATCTTGTTACTCCCGAGTGTATTCACCGCCCTTAATTTACTTATCCGAGCTCACAATCCGCGGTGTCCTTCACTATGGTCCCCCGTATTCAGGTCCCTGTTCGGGCGCCAACCGTGATGGAGCCAGCCGTCACTTGTCGAACAGCACCTGAATGGGGGAGTGAGGATGAAAAAAAAGAAAGACGCAGAGATAGAGTCTCAGAGAGTGCCGCCACGCTTTTTATTCTCCTCCCTTTTCTCACAGGTGAGTTTGGTTATTAGTCAGGACCCTTATCCAAAGACACCTGCTTCCTTGTTCTCTAGTTCTTTGGAAATTCCCCACCCTCATGGGCCTTCCCGTTTCTCGGGCTTACAAAACGTTCATCATGCTCCAGGACAATCTCCGAAAGGTAAACATCTAATTTGGCAAGGACACGGTTCCTCGTAACATAGTCTCCTTGCTTTATACAATGGAGGGTAAGATTTAACATGGAGCCTCTAAGGCTAACACCGCTCTCCACAAACACACTTCTGACTAACCAATGGGTCACAGAGGAAATTAAAGAAGAAATCAGACAGTTCCTACAACAAAATGACAATGACAATACAACATATTGGAATCTATGGGACACAATGAAAGCAGTCTTACAAGGGAAATTCATACCGAATACTCATATGAGGAAAACAGAGAACGCAAATAAATAACCTAATACAGAGCCTCAAGCTCATAGAAAAGGAAGAGCATAACAAACCCAAAGCTTGTACAAGAGAGGAAATTATAAAGATCAGAACAGAAATCAATGCAATGGAGACTAAGAGAACAATACAAAAAAAATCAGTGAAGCCAAGAGTTAGTTCTTTGAAAGAATAAACAAAATTGACAAACCCTTAGCCAATCTTATCAGAAAAAAAGAAAGAAAAGGCCAAAGTCCATGCAATTAGGAATGAAAAGGGTGAAATTACAACAGAC